CCCACATGTCGCGGAGCGGCTGGGCCCGTGAGCCATGGCCGCTGAGCCTGCGTGTCCGGAGCCTGTGCTCCGCAACGGGAGAGGCCACAACAGTGAGAGGCCCGTGTACTGCAAAAAAAAAAAAAAAAAAAAAATCGAGTATCTAGATTCAAGAAGAAAGAAGTCAAGGGCAGAGATCCAGGAAAAATTTATAAGAAGAGGGAGCCATGCAGGGTATAAGGAACACTTGGAAAATAAAAATTAGAAGAAACAGAAAAAGAGGGAGAGGGAAAATGTGGTGTCTCTGAATCCCAGAAAGAACCTTGAGTATAAAGGAATAAATAACCGGATTACGTTTTTCATGAAGAAAGACCTGGACATGTTTGAGAACAAAGAGAGTCAAAGGGATTTTAGGTATTAGGTATAGTAAGTATTGGCGCTTGAGTCACAGGTAATAAACATGACGATAAAGCAGGTGCTTTTGGAGGAGAATAAAGACATTTTCCTCACAGACACCAGCAAAGAAAAAGGGGATATAACCACGAGAAAAGGATAAGGAGAGTCAAAAAAAAGTATACAAATTGAAGTGTCACATTCTTTTCGATAAACTAGGTGGAGAGTAGTAGGCCTAGGAAGGGATAGGACAGCTGGGACTGGGGGCATGGAAGGAGAGAAAAGGTCTAAAATAGATCCCATGGGGAGAGAGCCTGGGAGTGCAGAAAAGACAATTAAGAAGACTGCCAAATAGCAGCAGAGAGCAGATTGAAGTTTGAAAGCAACGAGTTCTAATGAGCCAAATCTGCAATGCTGTTTGCCTCTAGCAGTGCTCTCCCTCCCAGGAGAATCAGCAAAGAGAGCAACAGTTAGAGGTAACCTATGTTTAGAAATTTGCTATGTGAGCCAAGAAGCAAAGGTTACTCATGAAGAGGCAAATGTGTGTTCCTTGTTGAAAGTGAAAGTCCAACTCATTGGAAGCAAAGAAGGCAACAATCCCTAAACCTGATCACTGAGGAGTATTTCCAAGGAAGTGGGGAAAGTAATTATTGTGAGTCCTGAGCTGGAAGCTGAAACTTTCAAGGAAATGAGAAATCTTCTAATTTTCATCTCCCTCCTCACCACCACTACCAGTCCCGCTGAGACTACAGGAAGGGAAGAAGCAAAAACTAAATGAGATCAGAAGATTCTCATCAGAGGACCGCAGCAAAGTGAGCAATTATGTGCCTGTCTTGGGGGCTGGGGACTGTGTAGGTAGTACTGTTAATACGGAAAAGTGGTAACGGTCTAAAGTTTTACACATTCCCTAGGCATTGGGGTCACTGGGTTTTAAATAAACTACATGCAATCCACTAGGTGAAAAAAATGTGTGTTTTACTTTGTTATATAGAGTCTGAGATTACTAAATTATTACTCTAGCATTTAAATGCAGGCTTTGCTTTTGAATCGAATCCCAGCACTCACTGTTGATGCGATGCAATCATCTGTAGTGCAGAGGTGCACCCACACCCCACCCCCGACCTCTCAGACTTCTCCTCACCCCATTCTCCACATTGTTCACTCTGCTCTAACCACCACCACCTTCTTTTAGTTCCTGGAATCAATCAGGCTGGTTCCCGGCTCAGGACCCTTGTACCAGCTGTTTCTCAGCCTCTGCTGTGTTCTCCCTCTAGCCAGGCCCAGAAGGTCCTTCGTGACAGGCAGGTCTCTGCTTAGGTGTCACCTTCTCAGAGAGACCTCTCCTAACCATCAACCTAAGCCTGGGGTGCACTCTTTGTTCCATAACCTTGTTTTGTTTTGGTTTTTATCCCTGACACATTATTATGTGATAATACCTTGCTTATTTATTTTTTTGTTTTGTTTCGCAGTCTTAGAATATAACTCCAGTTAGAATATAACTTTCATAAGGAAAGGGATTCTGCCTGTCTTGGTCACCACTATATTGCCAGTATTTCAAATATTTCCAAACACACATCATACATTCAGTTATTTGTCTAGTGAATGAATGAATGATTTAAAAACTTGGTGTTTTAATGTTAAATATGATGGAAAGTTACATTGTTGGGTAAACATTTAGTCACAAGCCTGTATAACAAAAAACACTGGAGCCAAAATGGTATTATTGATGTCTCAAAACATCACAAAAGATCGTATTTGTCTTATTCCAAGCAATAAATATTATGAGAAAGTATTGTGAATGGGAGGATAAAGGAGGAAACATCCTGAAAAATGAATCTAAATAAATCTCAGTATAACTTTAAATGATCATATGGACATAAGAATGTTTATATCATTTTTACCAGACTCAGGGAGGTCTGAAAATATAGACAGATTTTTCAGAGTTTGAATAATGTGTGATTTAATCAGTTAGGGCATATACACAAACAAAATGTCAGATAAGTTTTCCACAAAATAAATTCTAAAAATTATTCATAATGTTTTTGCTGTTATTCTTGCTATATTAAATCTAGAAAACAGGCTTAGTTAAGAGGTTAAGAGGAAGCAGGCTTTAATCTTTTCTCCATAAAAGGCAATCTCTAAATAAGAAATTCAGTCTCCAGTCAAGTTTTCACATTTTCTGTGGAAAGTAGTCTCTGCCAGTTCATAATTAAAAAAAAAAAAAAAAAAAAAGGGGGAGACGGCAGAAAATGGTAAAATGAAATCTACAGTCCTAATGAATAATTTAATGTTATGAAACTCCAAATGACTTTATGTAGAATATCATTTACTAACCATGATCCTCTGAAATCTGATGAAGACATCAGTTAAGTCAAGAATACACAGGTGTATTTTTAAAACAACCTGATTCAATATTCCATTAAGATGCCTATGTAGAAGTCAAAAATCAAAAAAATATATAATTAATAAGGAAGCCTCAGACAAATCCAAATTGAGAGACATTCTACAAAAGACCTGGCCTGTACTCTTCAAGTACATCAAGGTCAAGAACACAAAGTAAGGTTGAGGAACTATTTCATCATGAGACTGAGAAGACAAGTAAACAAATGAGGGCATAATCCTAAAATTGATGTTGAACCAGGAAAAAAGGGCTATGATGGAAATTACTGAGAATACAAGTAAACAAATGAGGGCATAATCCTTAAATTGATGAGCCAGGGAAAAAGGGCTATGATGGAAACTACTAGGACAACTGATAAAATGTGAAGGTAGACTATGAGCTAAATAATAGTACTGTATCATTGTTTAATATCCTGATTTTTTTCTTAATTGCACTGTGATTTTGTAGAAAAAATTTCTCATTCTTAAGAAATACACACTAACCAGAGATAAGTAGGAAAAATGGTTGGATGGATGGATGGATAGATAGATAGATAGATAGAACTAGTGAAAGACTGTCAAGTGAAACAGAAACTTCACTCGTGACAGTGATTAGAATAATAATAAGCAATTAATAAACTATAACCAGCTGTGTCAAAGATAGAACCATATGCTTTAAAAATAAATCAGTAAAAAATCTGCTGTTTAAGCTCTAACAATGTATTATTACTTCAATAAACGAGACAAATAAAAACTAAAATTTAAATGTAAAGATTTCTTGAACTAGAAGCCTTTATAAATTGGTTTCATTATTTATCAATATATGATATTTTAGAAATATACTATGACATCAATTCAATTTTAAGTTCAAAAACTGGAGAATTTAAACCATGAAATTGTCCACAGAAATCAAATCCCAGATATAGATTGATGAATTAAGTCTTTACTCACTGTTCTCAAAAACCTGAAATTTTAAAGTGAAGCACTAATGATAATAAAATAATAGTAATACAACAGGTAGCTTCAAGGTGGTTATTATATCATTCTCCTTTTAGAGAGATGGGAAAAAAAGTTTACGGAGATTAAGTATCTTGCCCAAATTTCAAATCGGTGTTATGTAACAGATGTATAAGATTACAGTGGCTTGCCTCCCCCTGCCCCTTGGACAAAGCTTTATATCAAGATGGGAGATTCTTTCATTATGTAACGTCTCCCACCTTGATATAAGGCTTGAATGTACCTATGCTATTGCCGATGTTAATTTCAATGCTATAGTTTATACATAATAACTAGCACTTTAAGATTATTAGAATGATATTGGTAGAAAAAAAATTAAAAGCTAAAGTATTTCTTGCTCTCTCACTACTTGTAGCAAGAGTAAAACTCAAGATAGATAGATATAATTATGTAAATAGTCCATTATTAGTCTCAAGCATCCAGCAGGTTCCAAACCAACTGGCAATGCTTAGGCCCCAAATAATATACTCTGATTTATTGTTTCTTTCCTTTGCCAACCTTATTCTCCTCAGAGAGTAGCAAACTGTGGGTATTGCAGCATAGCAACGCTATATCACATCTTAAGAAGTAACATACAGCACATAGCTATACCAAAGCCGAAAAGGAAGAAAATTTCTTTTCAAAAAATTTTTGGTCAAGGTTCAGCTGGGGAAATCTACTGACCCACTTTGAAATTAAAATGCTACTTTAGTGTGGTTCGCGCCTGCGGGCGTGCACGCACACACACCCACACACACCCACACACACACACATACACACACACAGGGAATTTTCCACTGAGGTTGCATATAATAGCATATTAAAGCTCTGTCAATGACACCCGAATCACCATCCCTAAGGTAAGAATACGCATGCTGAGTTCCGGTTGCTCACTAATTACCCTGAATTTATTTTAACCTTAAATCTTTTAAAAAATATATGATTATAGGAAATCCAAGTCTGCAGTTAAACTAGAACATCATAATCATTTCTAGGAGTCATCTCAGTTTCCTTTTTTTTTTTTTTTTGCAGTAAGTATTTCTGAGTTAACATTACAAATGCAATCATCACAACAGTAAATCTTCATTTTCAAAGCAGTATCAACTTAATGTTACAAAGAAATAACAGACAAGTCATTACTTTCATTATTGCGAGCTGAGACATTTAGCCCAAACCATGATAGGTATTGTGCATATAATATAATGTTATTATGGAATAAAGAAACTTCATGACATATCTATGTTTTTACTCACCAGTTGTTTCCACAATGCCTTCTAGGATGACGACAATCTCGAACTGTTCACTTTGCATGCTTCGCTGGGATAGGTCATAAAAGGGGCTTTTGGCATCAATCACGTGGCAAATCGTGAGGGGGGAAACAAGAAAAAGTTGATCTGCCCCTGTACTAAAACCTACATCCAGTTCAAGTTGATCAAGGGGAAGGAACTCACCCTCAGGTGTCTGCCGAGACTAGACAAGCACACAGAAAAAGAGAAGAAATCACCACTTGTACTGAAATTTGCAAGGCAGCCCAACAGTAATTTACATCATTGCCAACATTCTGCACTATCAATCATCTGCAACAAAATCCAAACAAATCATTATGCAGCTATGTTCTAGCAAATGGGCCGAAATCCCACATAGCTCATGTGGAACATACATGCATTATTTATAATACACGACTTACTATAATTACCAGTCCCTAACTCATGAGCTTTGGAAAAATGCCTGGTCCAACAATGGCTGTTAACACAAACTGTGGAACTAAGTGTATATGTGCTACTGCTTGACATAAATCACTAAATGATAACGCACTATACGCCAGATGTTTTTTTCCTCCCAAAGCAAATAAGTAGGCAATTCTTATGGAGTTTGTTAAAGCTAAAAAAGGTTGATCATAATTTAAAAACAGATTTATTGCATTATTGCAAAGCAAACATAATAATTCATTTTTCCAGGACCTTTGAAAAGTAACAAATAGATAGAAACTAGAATAGAATAGTGAAGATGTTATCATATTGAATAATGTTATGTACACAACAGCTCACATAATAAAAATAAAGGCAGATGCTGTTAACTAGTGGCTTTCGAACTACTAGTAATAAACTGCATTAAAGTTATTTCTCTATTTATTTTATAAATTGTAAAATTAGTCAAAATTTGTGCTCAACTGAATTTCTTTAAATCAAAATGCAGTTTAAAAAATCTGTATTAGACAAACGTAGTTTACTAAAACTTTCATATGGCAGTGGCACTCAGTATCAGTATAAATCACTATAAAGCTTAATTCAACAAACTGCTTGCATGCTAAAAAAAATTAAATACAATTATTAGCAATTAGCAAACCATGAAAATAAACGTATCTTTCTTTTCTATTCAGTTTTCATATATGTTACTTATAAGGATCACGATAAGCAAATATTTATTATGATGATGCTGGTAAAATAAAAGCTGCGTTAAAAAAATCAGGGTGGAGGGAGGCTTGCTGCTGGTTGAATGGGGTTTGGAAGAGTCCAATATATTTTAAGAGACTCTTTGCAAAGCAAATTTAATAAACAAAACACACTCTGCAACACTGGTCTGTCCAATGAATCGGTAGACTGAAGACAAAATCCTTACTTTCAGAGTTCCTGGGAAGACACTGGCTTTGTAAGAGAGCCTGAAAATACTGAAAAATATGGTTTAGTAAGCTGTCCTCCACAGCAAAACAAAACCAAGAGTTCCAAGTTGGTGGCAAATTGTTACTGCAGCAATTACAGAGTCTCAAAAGCAGAACTAGTCAATTAGAGAGGCTACTTTGTAATTAGTGATACTCAGGAGTTTTATTTGTATAGAAAAAAAGTCCAATGAAAATATTGAGACTATTTTTCTTCTCTGCCTTATGACTAGTTGATTAAAAATTTTAAAAGAAGAAGAAAATGATTACTGACAAGAAAAAAAAAACATGGAAAAACCTGATGGTGCAAAAATAAAAACAGCAGCTCTAACAACCAATGTTGGAGAAAACTAGTCATTTCTAAGCCAGTAGAATTCATTTATCTTTCTATATATATTCTCAAATTGGTAAAATACAGATGAGACCAGCATCTTTGCAAATACACAGTTGTATAACATGTATTGATTAATGTAACAAAATAAAAGTCAAACACAAAACAAAAATAAATAAAAACAAAAATCCTGGGTCATTGTTCTCTCACCTACTAAGAAACAGGTGCTATATAAACACAAGGTGGTATTCTGACATTTATAATTAATGATCAGAATTTGGGTCATTTTACCAACTATTCTAAGCTCTGCTTTTTCTGCATGAAATAAAAATATTCACAAACATAATTTTTAAACTCAGTTTCCCATTTATTTTAAAATAATTTCCCCCAAAGAAGATATATTTTTCTAATTTTTATATATGTACACCAAGGCTAAAATTCATCTCCCTTACTTATATATTTGTTATTTATACTTGCACCTCATTCTTAGAGTAGCCATTAGCTTCTGTATTCTCTGCTCATTCAATAACCCATGAAAAAGAAGTGGCCTAGAAACAGGCTATCAGGAGAATGCCAACCTAGAATAAGAAATATTTTATTTTATTTTTAGCAAAGCAGTTAATTCATATGTAGGTAGTTGAGACTTAAATATGCATGAATCTGTTCCATTAATGTCCATAATGTTCCAGACTCCACGTTATCTTTCGATTTTAAAAATGTGTTCCATATACTCAAAATTATGCCTATACCCCTTCCCAAATGCTTTATATCCTATCCAAGTCTTGGCAGAAACAAAGTTCACAACTGCACCTATTTTGTGATACTATGGGGAAAACAATACTTCATTTCTTTGAAAGATGTTTTCCACACTTACATCTTTTTCCGATAAGTGAAATTCCCTACTTATTCACTAAAAATTATTTTCCAGTGGATAAATTTCATCTTACTTTAAATGACACTGAGGTACTACATACATCCACAATTTTATCTTTCACGTCTTCTTCCTTTTTGTTAGGCCAACAGATATTTCAGCTATCAATATGCTTACCTCCCTGATTTTTGTTTGCTTCTCTGACTGTAATAGACTGGGAAGCCTATTACTCACTGTGAATTAAAAAGAAAGCTTTTCTGTTTAGAGGAGGGAGGGGTGTTTGGCAGGTGCCTGGAGCACTGGAATTGTTTGAAGTCTGAGCTCCTGGGCAGAGCAAGGCTATCTTATCAATACTCAGCAAAATACGATGTCCCAGAACCTGACATATATCTACCAAATACATTTGCAGAAGCATGCACATTCTACTCTAGGTTTACAAGGAATTCTAATCTAGGCTTTTCTAATTCTGGGGCAATTCCAGAGATTTTTCTGGAGCAAGGGGGGAAAAGAAGCATATGTTAGTTATAGTCTCTCAACTTGTATAAGTGGAGTTAGAGAACTTTTGTTCAAGGAACTGTAACACATACATAACAGATACAAAGGAAAAAGAGGAGTTATGGATGTGCCTTTATAAAATTAAACTGTGATCTGTACCTTGAGTATGTAATAAATCAGTAGCAATGATATTTTATCCACTTCTAGTTCTCTTATTTAGATACCAATTACCATATTTCACCCAGAAATTTTGATAATAGGCATAAAAAAAGTAGGTAAAAACCAATTTAACCTTTATTTATTATGTCATCTTAAGAATTATGATAAAAGAAGAAATCTTTCATTAGTAGATCAGTTTGCCCCTGGTCTACATTATCTCCTCTGGTTCTATAAGCCTCCTAATTCCAAAAGGGAACACAGAACCATGATCTTTTCCTGGATAATATGTAAATAGATACAGTCGAGATCAACAACAATTCTAAACAATTGCTTAAGGTGAAGAGTGATACAATAAATTATTAAAATTTCTAAGGTTGACTTTACTTGATGAAATAATCATTTAAAATCTTGAAACTATTGAATAAATAAGTGGGGCAAAGGTGGAAGGGAAAACAGTTCATGGAAAATTGGTAATTCTTAAAAATTTAGAACATAATTTGAAAACACTAGCACTTGAGAATAACTTAACATACAACTTTTATTATCAATTGTATGAAATATGTGGGGGAAGGAAATAAAGATTTTTTCTGCCATTTTAAAGACTTTCTGGTTGGTTGCATTATATGAAATTCTGAGAGTTAAGACAAAAATCAAGGAACTCTAAGGCATAAAGTTTGTTTAAATTTAGTGTCCAAAAACATTATAAGTAGAACCGCCTGGATTTTTTGAAATGATTGTGTGCAATTTAGATTTTGGCAATAATTTCTAAGTTATTCTTTGTAATAAAAATATTGCTATTGAAATGTAGTATTTCTATTACACACACTTCAATTATATGCCACATGGATATATGTCTAGAACTTAAGGTTTGTGCCTCATTTTATAGTCACATGTACTAACTTCAAAGAAGCAGCTAATGTCAAATGACTTTGAACTCCCTTAGAGTCCAAAAAGGCCTGCAAGATAATAAATTACAACTTCTGACTACAGGTGGAAAAGGAATCAAAAGTCACAGATGCCTAGAAGGGATTATTATCATCATGTACTTTACAGACAAATAGCTTTCTTATTACAGATAAAGGACTGTAGCGTATGTATCCAAAGACAAAGACACACACACACACACACACACCCCGCTCTGGATGCACATTTAGAACTGCCCTTGGCATAAGTAGATCCACATTTCGCCATCCTCCTTCTGGGAGATTTGTGATCAGTTGCCCACATTCATTCAGCAGGGACACACTTCACCAATACAATCAATCTCTTTGCTGCCTTTCTCCCATCTCTCCAACCCATTATTGCGTTCTAATTATAGCCATTGTGCTCTTTCCTAGCTCGGAGGGAAGCTAGGGGAATTTTGAAAAAAAAAAAAATTTAAGCTCTAACATCTGACTCTTGAGATGTACTTCTATAATATTCTAAGGCTTGATCCACACCCCCCACCACCACCACTTTTCACACGTACCTACTGGAAAAGGTAATGAAGGCCAGTGGTCCAGAAAGGAAAAGAAGGAAAACATAGTTGAAGACAGAGAGGGCAGCCCTTCTTGCCTACCACCTCCCCACCATTTTATCTGTAATGTCACTTCTCCTCTTTAAATGTGCAGTGTGTATGTGTGTGTGTGTGTGTGTGTGTGTGTGTGTGTGTGTGTGTGCTGAATATATGCTGAAGTCAGAAATAAAATTACATGCAATGAGGTCAGAGTACTATGTGGAATCTAAAATTTGGAAATGAGCCAAAAGCAGGTACCAGTATAAAGAACAACAATGCCTTGTGACTCAAAGCATTTCTGGCAATGATTTTGGGACTCAGACCAAAATTAAAGTCAGGTAGAAGAAAGTGTGGACCTAGAATTTCATCTGGACTGTCTACAGTTGTACATTTCTTTTGACTTCTTATAAATTTATTTATTTTATTTATTTACTTTTGGCTGCTTTGGGTCTTCGTTGCTGTG